TCTAGATGTAGTTGGGTCGAATCTCGCGTTTCTCAGGAGTGAATTGAAAAATATTGATTTTTTGTTAAGTATTGCAAAAATTACAATATAGACGGGCTTCGAAAGGAGTGTTATACAACAGATTATAATTATGTAATTTTTTACGAAGAAATTTGGAAAACTCTGCATTTTAATAAATTACAATTGTTTTAACTTACATTCTGTGTTAATCTTGTTACAATGTATGTAATTTTTGACAATTGAATTTAGAACTGTTAGTAACGAATTGCAATATAATGACTAATTTGTTATTTTTCTATAATTCATATTACAAAATGTATAATAAACATATTACATCTCTTGGTGTTTGTGTGTGCAATTCATGTTACAAATGATTTTGATTGAACAAGAGATGATGCCCATCAACAGCTAGTAATTAAGTCAACCGCACTTAATTTCAATGCAAAAGAATAATAATTCTGCACATGAATATCATCACAATAACGCGTAAAAGCAATGATGATAAACACATATATTTCTAATAATCATTGACTTTAATAATTTCCTTGATTAGTTGAATCAATCATGATACTAGTAATTAATTGTCATTCTATAAAGTTACATCATACGATGACAAGTGAAAATGAAAGACTTGCAATGTGAAAAATGTCAAGTAAAGTCATCGTTAGAAATTAGTGATCTAAGACTAGCCCACGCATCCAATGCACATGAACCTTGTAGAGGCCAACCACGAGAACGACTATAGGAGACAACTCCTATAGGCAAGGTTGAGACTATGTCGAGAGAAGGACAAACGACGAGATCAATCCATGCCAAGTAATATGGCTAACTAAACCAGTTTTAGACATCAATCAACATGAAAAGGCACTGGACTCGACAAAGACTAGTTCATCTAAGTTCCCCAATGTCAATGTAGTGAGTTTACCACATCATCTGATCATCCTCGAGTGATAATCTTCCCATCTATCTTCCTCAAATTAAAAAGAATCACATGTTCCATCAATGCCCACCTCTTTCACCATCATGGATAACAATCTTACATAGGCACAATTGTATAGAGAACCAACCAACCACCCACATTTTTTTAACCTATCACCTTTGTTCGAATCTCCTACTCACGTCGGGAGACTCATCACTTGTCAAGATTTCAGATTTCATTTAAAAAGGAAGGATGAGTTGTATAATTTTCTTATGAAACCACGACCATTTCATGTCTAATCGATGTTAAATTTTTGTTTTTAGTTTCTCAAAACATAGAATATTGGCTTGAACATGAACAACAACATTGAATAACGACATTCAATTAATGCTTCATTTAGAGAAAATATGAAATGATGAAAAATCAGAGAGTGACAATTGATCTGTCTCAATAAAATTAATAGCAGTACAAAACGTTTAATTATCTAATCAAAAACCTCTCTTGTACATTCTGTTAAACTATTTAACTCTCTGAAACATCGTGCCACAAAATTCATCAGCAGACAGCAAGCCATTCTAAAATCAAAAAATCATTAGAGAAGGAAAAAAATATTGTCAAAAATCCAAGTAAATGTACAAGGCAAAAAAAAAAAAAAAAACTAGGAACTCTTCTGTTGGATAGTAAATAATAAACAGTCCATCGAAGGAGCATAAGTAGAAAGAATTAATTCATTTTCTCCTAGCTCAAGAAGCAGCCTGTTGGGCATGCAAAAATGAGATTAATTTAGGTTTAGCGAGCGAGAGTCCGGAATTAGCGGCAGGGGCGGTGGCAGTAACAGAGGAGGTGGCGACGCGCTCACAAGAAGGGCACATTGTCAGAGTAGTGGCAGGTTGCTGCATGTAAAAAGGTTGTGAAGTCTTTAAAGCTCTTAATTCTTGAATCTCCTTTTGCAACCTCCTATTTTCTTCTGTCAGTTTCTCGCAGCATCTCTTTAAATACTCACAATCTACTTCTGTCTGCTTCAACTTTGTTCTGCAAACCGTAAATGCATTAAATAATCGCTTCATTAAACTTTCACAAAAACCAGGAATTATTTCTGAATAAATAAAATCAATCAAACCAATATTTTTGTTCGAACACGTACCTAGCTCTTCTGTTTTGGAACCATACTTCGACTTGGCGTGGACGGAGATTCAACTGCTTTGCAAGAGCAAGCTTTTGTTTCTGCATATCAATTAGTTTCAATACAAGTAAAAAATCATGACTAAATGTAAATAAAAGTCTCATCGTCACCCATTATAGTAAACTCGTACACATGACGACTGTTTTAACACAATCAAATGGAATAGATTAACAAAATTATCGAACATCATGTTGATAACAAAATTTACTAGTTATCCTACACACACACACAGGTTTAATTATAGAGGTATGACTTACAGGGTTGAGGGTGTTGTGTTCTTTGAAGCTCTCTTCAAGAAAAGCAGACTGTTCTTTTGTGAGCCTAAGTTTTTTTCTGGCCATACCATTTTCTTCCTCATCACTTGCCCTTGAAGAATCCCCTCTATCTGCCTCACCTTCGTTTGCATCTCTTTTGCCTCTTGTGTAAATTGAAAAATCCATCTGAAATGATGAAACTGTGCTGTTTGGAGATGACAGTGCAGCACCATTTTCAGCTCCCTCCACCCCTAAAGTCCTCTCTAACCCTTTTCCCGTTTCAGTAGCCACTGTTGCAGAATCAAACAATATGAAAGATTAAACCCTACGAAAATCATCCAAGAACTTTAAACTTTCAGACGAGACAAGTTTAATTCTAGCTGGCTAACTTATGAAAATTATGACCTATTAGTCCTTCCATGTAAAAGTAAAATATTATATAGTTAGAACCTGGTGCCGCAAAATAATCAGAAATTGATCTTAAAAAGAGTTGAAATCCAAGGACATATCATGCAAAGATAAGTTAGTAACTGTGAATGAAATATCAAAACCAATCTGGGGAGTGTAACCCACAAAAATAAAATAGTGAAAGAATTCAAAATTTGAGAATAAGACACGGATTAAAGAAAAAAAAATTGCATTACAGTTTTGAGTGAGCCAAGGGAAACGAAGATTATTTGATGAAGTTTGACTTCGTGGAACAGGAGATAACGGCAGAAGATCAAGCTGGATGGGTAGATCCGATGAAGACCCTTTTCTTTCACCATCGTTTATTTTTTCTCGCTCGCTGATTTCATCTTCACTTTTCATTCCTAAAGCCATGCAAAACCCTATATCTTCTTCACCAGCAATTTTCTGAGACTTGACAAGAAAAGTGAATCCCTTTGGCGTGTCACCCAAACTCAGACCCAACTCCATGACAGATTTTAGTTTCACTGAGAAGGAAAAATAAAAAACAACAGAAAGAAAGAAAGAAAAGGATGGTTGGATTGAAAAGAATTGATCCTTGATTGAAGGGGCTCAAGAAATTTAAAAGAACAAGGGTTGTAATAGTATCCAATCTCGAGTTCTGTAGCATCTGCTAAGCAACTAGACAGGTTAATTTCATAGCCTAACCTAGCTTTGTCAAAGTAAAAGATTGTCCAAAAAATTCAAGATTTTGCAAAACGCACGTGAATTCATATACAAATATATACATATGCAGCAATGCTGTGTGCGCGCGCGGGTGTGTGGACGTGGGTGGGGGTAGAGGTAGAAGAGGGAGAGAGAGTTGATTTTTTTATTAAATTAATGTGGTACTTGAGGGCTACGAATGATGAAAGTTGGTATACTATTAATGTTTAGTATTTAAGACTCCGAATAAAAATAGGCCAAAGTTATAGTTGTGTCTATATTTTAGGTTTGGCAAATCTATGCTTCAATTAAATGATGCTTTATAAATTTGTTTACATTTCTTTATAAATTAAAACATATAATTTTTTTGACCTTTTTTCTAATACATTCCAACATTAAATAATTGTTTGAATATGAATAGTTCATATTTGCTTTCCTTTTTATTCTGTCCTAAATAATAAGTCATTTCTAGTGTGTAGTTAATTATTTTATTTTCTAATATGTCATTATTTAATTTGTCTTATTATCAATAAATACGAACTATTTATATTTAAATAATTATTTAATATAGGGATATATTTGTGTGAAAATGTAAACAAACCTATTTTATGTGACGAAGAGAACATTTAGAAATAAACATGAAATTGAGGAGTTTATCCTTATCGTTTAGTACGTTAAATTTTTTGGACAGTATAAAATTTACAATTTGTCCTCGTCGTACAACAAGGCACCACTTGTTACCCTATGCAGTTTAAATTAATTGTTGTGAATGAAAAATGGGCACTCCACCGCAGGAATATGGAGATAGATGCCTTTAATAGGATTTGATTTGATTGCATAATTGGAAATATGATGCCCCGACTAGACATATACAGGACCAACACATCATGAACTATGATGAGATAATTAATTATTAGATGAGAAAATCATTATATTTCTTGTAAGATTTGAAGGGAGAGAGTGCTAAAAAATAATTTAGTTTCATACAATAATAATAATAAAGTATAGAATATGATCTCTCTCTTGCTTATTACGTACTTAGATATGATTTACCCTTTAAATTATTTTACTGTTAAGGGCTTGCGTTTCTTTTCTTTTCTTTTATCGTATTTATCAGCACTCTTGTCAATAGTAAAGGAAAAAAAATGAATATTCGACGAGCTTGAGTTATATTCGATATAAATCCTATCGACAACTTACCTTTGACTCAAATAGTCACGTGGTTTTCGACTCGTGGTTCTCGGTCAATTGATAACAATTTAAACCAAAAAATTATATCGAGTGGAGGGTAGATATTTCCCTTTTCTTGGGTCAAAGGAAGACAAATATTTGTAAATGGGCATCAAACTCGAAGAATTGACGTGAAATGGCTCTGATCAGACGGCCGCTGGCTGCTTCTGCCCACCAGATTATGCTGACTGGCCAAAATTTGGGTCTAAACAAAAGGCACACTCTTTTGGAACAAAAGATTACATGATTAAAGAAAAAAAAAAAAAAAAA